TCTTTTTGACATGTGGGATCGCACACTCCACCATCTTCTCGAACTCTCTCGCCGCTCCTCCGTTTTTCTTTTATTACAGCCTTGCCCTTATTGCTTTGCTGTCAAATACTTAACAGTTTAGTGATGCGTGGAAATTTTTTTCCCTCACCGTTTTCCTCCCCCATCGCATAATTCTTCTTTTGTTGCCAATCGATCAACCACAATTTTCCTCTGTGTTTCAAACCCTCTGAATTTGTATCCCGCCTTCCCAATTGTCAACCTCAAATCGAAATCATAGCTCTCTCAACTTCTCCTCAGAAATCGTAGAAATCCAAAAAGGAAAAAACTGTGCTCTGCAACTGATTGGCGATTTTGATTCCGCTTCGTGAAATCTATTCGATCTTTGTTTCCTCATCTGTTCAATCTCCTCGCCACGCCATCGTCGTCCCAATTTAGCCTTTGACAGTCTTCCCATCCTTTTCATTTTTCTCATCAAATTATCTATGGAAATTGCTTCGGTTAAAGAATTAATTGCTGCTGCAAATTCTTTTGCCTTTAAAAAGTTTGGATCGGTGTCGATTGGATTCGGTCTTGGATTTTGTGAGGGTGGATTTCTTACCGCCAAGATTTGTGTAGGTGATATTTGTTTGCACCCAAAATGTGCCCATTTTTACTTATTTGGGCCATTGGGGTAAAATATGGTATTTGAAGGATTAATATGCAAGAAAGCTAACTTGGAAAGATATTTGGCTGTAAGTGGATGAGTTTGGCACTATAATATTGTTTTCCCCATTTGTTTGGGTGGTGGAGGCTTGTCAAGCCTTTGTTTAATCAAGATACATGCATCATTGTAAATGGGTTGGAAGGCAACATACAGATGTGGATGCAGAGAACATGTGAAAGAAGCCAACTTGCTTCTTTTAAATGTTAGTTTATTACAAGTGGGAAAACATGTGATGAAAGCATGTGGTAGAAATGCAAGTTCCTCTTTTAATATTATTTCTCCATGCAAGTTGGCAAGTGAAATGCAAGCTGCCCAAGCAATGGAATACAAACTACCCAAGTTTCTTTCGGGCAGATGAATGTCCTCAGCAGGGGGTTTCCTCCAGACCTCTATATAAAGGAGCACAAACAAAAGGATTAAGGACACTCAATCAAACAAACAAATACAAGCACAAACTTTGCTCACCACCAACAGACTCTGCATGTCTCCCTAACTCTCACCAGCTCCTACAACCAAGGGTCGGGCTACTTCAACAACTACCATTGGATGCTACAATAAAAGCTTTTGATGTGGCTACTATTAATCACTGGAGACTAGTTTTCATGGGTGAGAAAATAGAAAAATGGAGCTGCATCTAAATGTGAAATTCGAAAGCTGAAGGAAGATGACAGAAAATTATGTTGTTGTGGCCCGACGGAGCTACAATTTTGCCCGAGGGACATGATATCTTCTCCACTACAATTGATTTAGATATTGTCAATCAAATGTGGGGCCCCACATTCGATCTGGCAAACATGAAGTGTTCTTGTTACATACTGCGCTGGTTGCTCTGTTTCCTGCACACCCTCTTTGTTATGGTCCCTTGATAACTGCTGGTCATCCCCCTCCAAATGTCATTTGTCTGAGCTTTATTCGTGGATTAGGACTTAATTTCTCTGCGGGTAGTGCGTTTGCAATAAACTCTTCTCATGTTGCTGTTGCCGCATCATCAATGGAAGCTTCAGCAGATCCATCCCCAACCGAAATAGACCCTGAAAAACAGAAGATTGTTGATATACCAACAATTACAGCAGCAACCGCAATAAGAGCATCTGACTTTGCTGCCCATTCTCCTCACTTTGTACTGCTTGAGGTGTCTAAAACGGTTGAAGGAGACACAAGCCATCTTAATCCCTTAAAACTTCACCATGGGTTACCACAACATGCAGTCATGAGATCTAATTTTCCCAGTTATCGTGAAGTAATCTTGGTCAGAATATGGAGAAGGATGCAAAAGAGGATGACCAATTCCCAGAAAGAAAAATCATCTCGAAGTAAGCAAGGACATTCCCGCAACAAGAGTGGCTTACTTTAAAAAAAAATGTTATGGCTGCTTGCACATTTGATCTCAAGTTCCTTTATGTCTTGGCTGGTTGGGAAGGATTTGCATTAGATTTACAAGTTTTGAATTTTACTTTCACAAGACAAAATAAATTGCAAATGCTAGAAGGCAGTCCTTTTGCTTCTGCTCTCCCATTGGCTCCATTGGCTGCAACTTGCAGCATCCAACCAGCAGCTCACAGCCGCATGTCGTTATCTCCCAACATGCAGCCAACATAGCAGCTACAGCTTCAAAGCCAGCCATTACACTTCAGCTGTCATCTTCAACTCACCACTAGTTAGAGGAGGTGTGCAGAAATTTACTTTTGCAGCTCACCAAAATGTCCGACCTGGGCTCAGAGGCAAAGTCAGAAAACAAGATGTGTTTCGATTATAATGCAAAGAACCAGACTTGGGCATCAGTTACATATGGGATCTTTCTTTGCATCGATTGATTCGGCCGTTCATTGCAGTCTCGGTGTTCATATCAAGCTTTGTTAGATCTACAAATTGAGACTCGTGAACTTTAAGCAGCTGAGAACGATGAGTTTTGGGGAAACGACTGTGCACAAGAAAATTGTGAAGACTGGGGGCTTGGTGCTCGCAAACTTACTGCACAGACAAATGAAAACCTATACGGTCAGGAACCGGAAATCTAGGTGTCCCAGTGCCAGTACCTTTCTCAACCAACAATACTTTAGCGGCTGGATCATCATATGCATCTCAATTTGAATTTTGGAATAGACAGTGACTTTCCCAAGAGAACTAATTTAAATACCTTAAAAAGTTCAAATTCAGGAGCAAGGAAGAAATTCACAAGTACAAAATCTATCTCTTCCTCATCATTTGACCAAAGCAGATCTGCTGATGTTGATGCTAAAACATTCCTTGAAGAAGTTCTTGGGTTCTGCAAGCCACCGCCGGTGTTGATCTATTTGTTGTCAGGGGAAATAATTCAGCCGTTGATCTCTTACTGCAAGTGGCCTAATCAACCGACTGTCCTTCCAGGCACAACATGATATCTCTTTCTTAACGAATATCGCTGGGGAGACTGGGAAGAAGCTTAGTTCCTTGGCGTCCAATATAATGAAGGATCTTCAAGACAGAGTCATGTGATGTTGATATGCTCTGCGTCCATTTGTTAAAGAGTTCACCTACCAACATCATGTGCAGGGATTGTAAAAGGGGTTTGGCTTTCTTTTTCTTTTTCTTTTTCTTTTTTATTTTCTTATCCCCTTCTTGCCCGAAAGGGCACCTCTCTCTTTCTTCCCTTTTCTTTTTTTTTTCTTTTATTTCTCTCTCTTTCTTTCTCTTTCTTTCTTTCTCCTCGTCTCCTTGTCTCTCTCTTTCTTCCATTTTGCCCGAAAGGGCTCTCTATATATCTATAGTATACTACTTGAAAGGAGACAAGTACTTACTCTCTATATATATATTTATATATATTATATTATAGAAAAAGAGTTAAGAAAAAGAATATGGGCACTTTGCCCGAATGGGTTTATATATATATGTATGTATGTATGTATTATATTATATATGAAAAGAGGCAAAAAGAAAAGAAGAATAAAAATGATAGTTGCCCAAATTCTCTCTTCTCCATCTTTTTCTATGTTTTCCAATTTGCCCGACTTCGGGCATTTGTCCAGTTCATTATATATGTAACCAATGAGGATGCTCCCATGTTTTTTGGTATCCACATGAAGGAATACAAGCCAGACGGAGACATTCTTTCCAATGCTAGTTGCGCTACCAATTGCCTTGCTCCTCTTGCCGAAGTTTATCAACGACAGAAGGATCGAAAAGGTAGATGTGCCTCTTCCTTCGACATCAATCCTGGCAGCATTGGAGTCGTAAGTTTCACAAACTTTGCTCAAATTTGTAAAACTTGGGGGGGGGGCTACTGTTTGAACCAAAAATGTGCCCATTTTTACTTATTTGGGCCACTGGGGTAAAATATGGTATTTGAAAGATTAATATACACGAAAGCTAACTTGGAAAGATATTTGGCTGCAAGTGGATGAGTTTGGCACTATAATATTGTTTTTCCCATTTGTTTGGGTGGTGGAGGTTTGTCAAGCCTTTATTTAATCAAGATACATGCATCCTTGCAAATGGGTTGGAAGGCAACATACAGATGTGGATGCAGAGAACATGTGAAAGAAGCCAACTTGCTTCTTTTAAATGTTAGTTTATTACAAGTGGGAAAACATGTGATGAAAGCATGTGGTGGAAATGCAAGTTCCTCTTTTAATATTATTTCTCCATGCAAGTTGGCAAGTGAAATGCAAGTTGCCCAAGCAATGGAATACAAAATACCCAAGTTTCTTTCGGGCAGATGAATGTCCTCAGCAGGGGTTTCCTCCAGACCTCTATATAAAGGAGCACAAACATAAGGATTAAGGACACTCAATCAAACAAACAAATACAAGCACAAACTCTGCTCAAACCATATTTTCCTTCACGAAGCTGTAGTTAGCCCCCAAGCTTTCATCATTTTCAGGATCAACCCTCACAAAAGCCATCTTTTGTCTAGTGTATTAGCTCTGCTACTTACTTGTGGTATCGATCTCCTTTGTAGTTTCATGTACAACTCATTTTCAGTCATTTAAATTACAAGCAATCTGCAATATTAGTCACTTTCCTCTGTCACTTACATTTCCGAGCAACCTTGTCATTTACAAATTGTTCTATCTCTCCATATAAGTAAAGTCCTTATTTTTAAGGCAAAGAAAGAACTTTGATTTAAGCAACTCACACTCAAATGACACAATCTCTTGATTTGAAGTCAAAAGGCGCAACCTCAATCATTCAAATCCCGTCTACTAGCGGCATCTAGTAGTGGCACGCCCGCACCAACTAATCTCGTATGTGAAGTAAATCACCAGCTTGCATGACGGATTTAGGGAGCAAACAATATTTTTAAGTTTTTTTGATTAATTATGTTTTAACCTTTTTCTGGTAGTTTTCTAGGTTGAGATGGTAATTTGAGAATCGTATAAGATTAATCCTCAAAATTTGAATTTTTGTTTTCTCTCCCGACAACCTCTCTCTTCGCGACTGACTACGGCTTCTCCAATGAATTTCCGGTCGAATCTACGGTTGAATTTTTGTTTTCTCTCCCAAATCACCACCAATCAAAGGTCAATTGAGAATCGTGTAAGATTAAATTTGTGAATTGATTTTGTTGGTTTTTGTTTTTTATTAAATTAAATTTGATTTGTGATATTTCATAATTATCCAGATGAAATTTTGATCTGAGTAAGTTTTTTGATTGTGGTGATCGAAACTGGGAATCGGAAAAAACCCCATCCCCCAACAGGTATGTTATCTGATCGTATACCCTACTCTCAACGTATGTGTGGATGTGTTAAATATTAATTCTTTCTCTCATGGATTGAATTTGACCCCCTCCACCTATTCATATGTTTTCATTGAAATTCTGTTATTATGTACGGCTATTTAATTGCTCCTTTTGGGTTTTATATTAAAGAAAATTTTGGAACATCATCTTGAGCGACCTGAAGTTGAAAGAATATAGGTTTGGGTTTTTCCCAGAGCTCAGTTTTTATTTTTTATTTTTTTTAATTTAATTCAGAAAGTAATATTTTCATGGGAAATTGAGTCTTTAGCCATGGAACTCGGTAATTCCTTTTTAAGATGTTGTGGGGAAAACTAAGAAGAGGATTGATAGAGTTTAGAGGTGAGTGGGATTTATCAATTTTTCCATTTTGGTTATATGATTTGGCTGTGTTTTGTATCAGGACAATTTGTTCTTCATTTTTGGGGGCTTCTGTGTCTAGCTTTGAAACCATTTATACTCAAGGTAAATAATTTCGTTTTTTCCTTTGAAGTCTTTTTTGTAAGAATTTTATTTTATTTTTTAATATTGTGAGGGATGTGTTTCTATAGCATGAAAATTGAATCTTTGTGATCTTACATCCTTAGATCGATTGCTTGGTTATATGATTTGGCTGTGTGTTTTGTTTCAGGACAATTTGTTCTTCGGTTTTTGGGGCCTCTGTCTGTAGCTTTGAAACCTTTCGTAGTCAACGTAAATAGTTTCGTTTTTTCCTTTTTAGTGTTTTTTTTGTAACAATTTTTTATTTAATATTGTGAAAGTTGTGTTTTTTATGGTATGAAAATTGAGTCTTTGTGATCTTATAAGTGGTGTAACATCAGTGCAATATGTATGACTACGATTATCAAACATGAAATGGTTTGTGATGGCCTTCTATGCCCTCCCTTGCTTTGAGTTTTTTAGGGCTTAGCTAGGGGAGATGTTTAAAGCTTGACCATGGTATACTTATGGGTCTTCCCAGCTTTTCCTCTTGCTTTTGTGCTTGGGAGCTGCTGCTTCTGTATTTTTTGCTCCTTTTTTCATTTTTTTGTTCTTGTCATTAGCTTGGTTTGGTCCGTATGTAAGCTCTATTATTTGCCATGAGATTTTTTTACAGTATTTCGGAGTATGACATGCTCTCATGAGATGCTTTCCCCTTTTCATACTCAATTTTTGTTGTTTTATGGCCTGGGATTTTTGGCTTTTGACAATATTTCCTAATGTCATTTGTACTAAATCATTCACTTGTACTCACTAAAGGAGAGCTTGAACCTATGTACTTGTGTAAACCCTTCACAATTAATGAGAACTCCTCTATTCCGTGGACGTAGCCAATCTGGGTGAACCACGTACATCTTGTGTTTGCTTTCCTATCTCTATCCATTTATATACATATCCACACTAATGACCGGAGCAATCTAGCGAAGATCACAAAAAGTGACCGTTTTCGCTACCTAGGATCTATCTTGCAAGAGAACGGAGAATTAGATGGAGATCTCAACCATAGAATACAAGCTGGATGGATGAAGTGTAAGAGTGCATCCGGCGTGTTGTGTGACCGTCGTAGGCCACTGAAGCTCAAGGGAAAATTTTATAGGACGGCAATAAGGCCAGCGATGTTGTATGGCACAGAATGTTAGGCGGTGAAGCATCAACACGTACACAAAATGGGTGTAGCGGAGATGAGGATGCTTCGTGGGATGTATGGGCACACGAGAAAGGATAAGATTGGGAATGAGGATATCCGAGGTAAAGTAGGAGTAGCCAAAATTGAAGGAAATATGAGAGAAAATCGGTTCCGGTGGTTTGGACATGTGCAAAGAAGGCCTACTGACGCTCCGGTTCGAAAATGTGACTACGGAACAGAGGTTCAGGGCCGAAGGGGTAGAGGAAGACCTAGGAAAACTTTGGAAGAGACCCTAAGAAAAGACTTGAGTACTTGGATCTAACGGAGGACATGACACAAAACCGAGCGCAATGACGTTCTAGGATTCATATAAAATCTTTTCATTAGCCGACCCCACTTAGTGGGAAAAGGCTTTGTTGTTGTTGTTGTTGATAATGGAATCTCTTTTGTATCATCAAAGAGGGGTCAAAATCAAAGCAGACAGACTGTATGTTTTATGGCCTGGGTTTTTTGGCTTTTGATAAGTTGAAATTGCAATGTCATTGTGGATCGCATTTGATGTGAATTGAAATCACTCCCTCTGCATTTTTTTTCCAATTTGTGAATTCAATCTGAAAGTATTAATTTTCCTGCTTTTTTTGGCAGAGTAGCTGTCAAAAGCCTGAGGATTCAGTTCGAGAACCTCAGTAAGTATGTTTATTTTCTCAAACATTGAATTGGAAAAAAATCCATTGTTTAAAGATTTACTTTATGAATTATTCAAGAACAAGTCACAGAAGCATTTACTTGCTCTTTTTGTCAATTAGGCCTTGACTCAAACAATATGGTTGTTTGCCATCAGCTGCATAGTGGTAACTAAATAGGAATAGAGGTGTTGTTTGTTCATTATCGTGCATTATATGGAAAAAGCCTTAATCCAAAATTGACAGATTTGTAGTCACTCATTACTCAATGAATGTCTATTATGGTTCTGATATAAAGAAATTTGGGTCAAAGATGCTCAGAAGGTAGATCCATGAGTTTGATTGACTTTAGTTTTTATAATTCTTATTTTTCTCCCCATGTTTATGCAGTATAGTGCACCTTTTCAAAGGCTTGATGGACATCACTTTCGTTACATATTCAAGGGGCTACTGGCATTATCAACCCCCTTCAATGCTGATCAGAGATATTAGTGTTTGCAGCGTGATGGCTTGGTCTTTAGGTGTTAGAAGTCAATGATTCATTTGCAAGAAGATACACAACAACTGAGAAGAGGCAGTAGTGGCACCCAATCCCTGGGTTTCAGAAAGAAATGGAATGGAGTATGGAGATGATGCTGAAGACGAATCTGAGAACTCGGAAAAGACTTTGGCAACAAAACTTGCATATGGACTAATGTGCAACCATCTTCTGAAGATGAAGACGTCTGCTCTACATATCTGGATGGTAAGTTAAATGTGCAAATGTCATTGTAGTTTTTACCAATGGGCATTGCTAGAATATGGATTAAGATGTCAATTGTCCGGTGATAATATATTGGTGTTGCAAACTAGCATCTTTCTTCAATGGTTCTTTGTGGTACTTTAATACTTAATAGTTGATATATTTTCTTGCAGAATACACCAAAAAATTCCAAAATTCAAACGACATGTCCTCATCATTTTCAATTTGGTTGCAATAATGAGTGGTTGGCCAAAAACGAAAGATGGCCAATTTGTGGAAGGTAAACTAGACCATGAAATTTATATTGTACATCAAAATTATATCACTTATTAGTTGCCCTACCCTTTGAATTTTGCATGTTGTTATTTTCAGTAGTGCTGAAAATAACAACATGCAAAATTCAAAGGGTAGGGCAACTAATGAGGAAAGGGGATCGCTTGCAAAGTTATACCGGGAGAGAGCTTGGCTAATCAACATCGCTTGTTGGTGATGGATGTACATATCAAAAGAGTGAGAAAAAAGAACAAGACTTGGAAGTGCCCAAGGACTAGATGGTGGAATCTAAAAAGAGAAAAACAAATCATTTTCAAAGAGAAAGTAATCACCCAGTGTGGGTGGGATAAAGAGGGGGAAGCTAGCGAAAGGTGGGATTCCATGGCTAGTTGTATCCGAAAAGTAGCAAAAGAGGTATTAGGAGAGTCCAAGGGCTTTGCTCCACACCAAAATGAATCTTGGTGGTGGAATGAGGAGGTACAAACAAAGGTGAAGGCTAAGAAGGAATGTTGTAAAGTTTTATACAAGGACAGGACCGATGAAAATAGTGAAAGGTATAGAAGAGCGAAGCAAGAGGCGAAGAAAGCTGTGAGAGTCTAAGTTAGCGGCTTATGACGACATGTATAAGCGACTAGATACCAAAGAAGGAGAGTTGGATATCTATAAACTAGCTAGAGCAAGGGAAAAGAAGACAAGGGACCTAAACCAAGTGAGGTGCATCAAGGATGAGGATGGAAAGGTTCTTGCTACAGAGAATGCGGTCAAAGACAGATGGAGATGTTATTTTCATAATCTTTTCAATGAAGGACATGAAAGGAGTACTTCTTTAGGGGAGTTGAGTAACTCAGAAGAGTGTAGAAACTACTCCTTTTATCGTCGAATTAGGAAGGAAGAAGTGGTTGTAGCCTTAAAGAAGATGAAGCATAGAAAAGCAGTGGGTCCAGATGATATACCGATCGAAGTGTGGAAAGTCTTGGGAGAGACAGGTATAGCATGGCTCACTGACCTTTTCAATAGGATTTTGAAAACGAAGAAGATGCCAAATGAGTGGCAAAAGAGCATTTTGGTGCCTATCTACAAGAATAAGGGCGACGTACAAAATTGCATGAACTATAGGGGTATTAAGCTAATGAGTCATACAATGAAGCTCTGGGAGAGAGTCATTGAGCATAGATTGAGGCAAGAGACAAGAGTTTCGGACAACCAATTCGGGTTCATGCCAGGGCGCTCAACCATGGAGGCAATATATCTCTTACGAAGATTGATGGAAAGATATAGAGATGGGAAAAAGGATTTACACATGGTCTTTATAGATTTGGAAAAAGCGTATGATAGGGTCCCAAGAGACATTCTTTGGAGGATTTTAGAGAAGAAAGGAGTACAAGTAGCATATATCCAAGCTATAAAGGATATGTATGAAGGAGCAAAGACTGCCGTAAGAACTCATGAAGGACAAACCGAAAGCTTCCCCATAATTGTAGGATTACATCAAGGCTCATCCTTAAGTCCTTACCTTTTTGCGTTGGTAATGGATGAGTTAACATGACATATTCAAGATGATATTCCTTGGTGTATGCTTTTCGCAGACGATATAGTGTTGATAGATGAAACTCAGGAAGGGGTAAATGCGAAGCTTAACCTTTGGAGAGAAGTGTTGGAATCTAAAGGTCTTCGCCTAAGCCGATCAAAGACAGAATATATGGAGTGCAAGTTCAGTGCAAATGGAGGCCAAAATGAGTTTGGGTGAGGATCAGAGATCAGGAAATACCAAAGAGCGATCGTTTTCGCTACTTAGGGTCTATCTTGCAAAAGAACAGAGAATTAGATGGAGATCTCAACCATAGAATACAAGCTGGATGGAAGAAGTGGAAGAGTGCATCCGGTGTGTTGTGTGACCGCCGTATGCCACTGAAGCTCAAGGGAAAATTTTATAGGACGGCAATAAGGCCGGCGATGCTGTATGACACAGAATGTTGGGAAGTGAAGCATCAACACGTACACAAAATGGGTGTAGCGGAGATGAGGATGCTTCGTTGGATGTGTGGGCACACGAGAAAGGATAAGATTAGGAATGAGGATATCCGAGGTAAAGTAGGAGTAGCCGAAATTGTAGGAAAATTGAGAGAAAATCGGTTACGGTGGTTTGGACATGTGCAAAGAAGGCCTACTGACGCTCCGGTTAGAAGATGCGACTACGGGACAGTGGTTCAGGATCGAAGGGGTAGAGGAAGACCTAGGAAAACTTTGGAAGAGACTCTAAGAAAAGACTTAGAGTATTTGGATCTAACGGAGGACATGACACAGGACCGAGCACAATGGCGTTCTAAGATTCATATAGCCGACCCTACTCAGTGAAGAAGGCTTTGGTGTATTTAACACAATACGTTGAAATGAAGCAAAACTTATTTATTAATATCTCCGATAAGTTACAAATATGTACATATACATGAGTCAAAATAAACAAACAAGAGGAAGCCTTCACAAATGTTGCTTAGGAGAAGTCTCAGCAGTCGGTAGAGCCCCAGAAAGAGAAGGCACCGGAGGGGGATCATTCGGAGCCTCAGTACTGGACAGAACCCTAGAAGGAGGAGGCATTGGAGGTTGATCATTTGGAGCTTCATTACGCGGTACAGCCCTAGAAGACGAAGGCAATAAATGCCTTTGGAACAAACCCACAAACCGCTGATGATCAAGTAAAACCTGACCATCAGATTCCTTCATCTAGTCAAACTTCCTCTTCATGTTTGTAGCATAGTCATGTGCGAGCCGGTGCAACTGTTTATTCTCATGCTTGAGCTCTCTAATCTCCTGTTTGAGACTCATCACTTCAGCCGCCAATGATTCAACTTGGCAGGTTCGTGCAAATAGGCGTTGGGCCATATTAGACACAGAACCTGCACACTGAACACTTAGAGCCAAAGAATCCTTAACATCTAACTCATCAGACCGTTTGGAAAGTAGTCTGTTATCTTTGGGAGTGAGAAGGTTCCTGGCCACCATCGCAGCAGTCATATCATTCTTCATCACGGAATCCCCAACGGTAAGAGGACCAGTAGGGGATAAGAAGGATGGGTGCCATATGTTGTTTGGAGAAGGCGTGGCTGCCTCTTCAACAAGGTTCAAGTCAAAACGACGGTCGGAGGGGCCAGACATTTTCAAAGGTGTTGAAGAGAAGAGGTCGGACAAATCAAGATCTTAGAAGTGCAAGAAGGGAGCTTTTACTGGTGAAGATTCAAGTGTGCTTTGGAACTTAATGTCAGCCTCTATAAAAATCTGCACTCGACGGAACTTCAGAAATCGAATAGGCGCCTGCCCAGAAATCGAAGAGGCGTTTGCTTTCTCAAAAGTTGGGCTGCTCAGAGACCACGAGGGCCGATCTCAGAAATCGAAGAGGCGTTTGCTTTCTCAAAAACTGGGCTGCTCAAAGACCACGAAGGCCGATCTCAGAAATCGAAGAGGCACTTGCTTTCTCAAAAGCTGGGCTGCTCAGAGACCACGAGGGCCGATCTCAGAAATCGAAGAGGCACCTGCTTTTTTCAGCCTTGTCAGCACCTGTCACATGCACACTCAGTTTTGCTGAAATTACGGGCATTCTGTTGAAGATTTATGGAGAAGTAGAAAGCACGTGAATCTTACTGTTCAATCATCCACTTTCCACATGCACCATCAGCTCATGGGTACCACAGATAACTTTGCTAAAGATCTCTGACAAAGTTTAGACACGTGAAGCTTGCAGCTCCCACTATATCGCTATGACCAAGAAGGGTAAAAGAATAGCAAAGAAACAACACTAACAAAGTTTAGACACATAAATTTTGAAGGTCTAGCTACCATATTATTACCCACAAGGGTAAAGGAACAGCACCACTGTTGGATAATTGGAAAGTCTGTGTGTCAACCTCTGTGCTCCGTGGCAAGGTAGACTAGCAAACATGCCCAACCTTTACTTACATTCGAGAAAACACTCCCAACAAGATTGCTTGCTCCAAAATCGAAAAGGCATCGTCTTCCGAATCTCGAGAGCCAGACTCTCAACATGATTACTTTCTCAAAAATCAAAGAGGCACCGTTCTCCGAATCTCGAGAGCCAGATCCTCGACAGGATTGCTTGTTCGAAAATCGAAAAGGCATCGCTTTCTCAACTTCGAGAGCGTAATCTTCACACGCAACATCAGCTTTCCAGATACCACATACCACTTTTTCAAAGTGCTCTGACACACATGAAGCTGGCAGCTCCCACTACCGTGCTATGACCAAGCAGGGTAAAGGAATATCATTACTACTTGTTGTTAGGGAAACTCCTATATATGTCGACCTCCATCCTCAACGGACAGGCAGACCTGCAAAAATGCTCAACCCTTCCTCATATTTGAGAGGGCACTCCCAACGAAGCCTCTCGAAATACTCAGCTTTCTTTCCTCCTGATAATACCTCTGCAAACAAGCTACACCAGAGCAAGAATATCTCATATAATCAGGGTTAAAAGCAAGAGTATCCTATATTATGTTTTTCCCCTGTCTTTTCCTTTGGCCTTGTTCTTACCTGCAAGACAAGGAGAAAGAGAGCAATCAGTCAGCACTTGGAATTAAGCTTCCAGTCAAGAACTGGCTGCCTGGAACCCCTTACCTGATTACTTACCTGTCATTGCTCTCGAGTACTCATCTTCAACATCTTATGCTTCCAGAGAAGATACCATTTCTGCCTAAGGAACAGATAGGGAAAGTGAGAAGGATACAAGGAAGCATGTTGAGACAAGAGTAATAAAACACGTGTCGATACATCCACTACTTTGTCAACAGCAAAAGTATCCCATATCAGCAGGGTCGAATGTACTCTAGATTTGATGGACTTGTTTTGACCCTCAAATTCTTCAGTCGGCCTTATACTCTGGAGGAAACCAGAAAATCCTCCAGCCCAGTTCAAGAATAAGCCTGTGGAAAGTTACTTCTTCAAAAGCAAAAGTATCTCATATCATCTATTCTCCTTTTCTTTTCTTTATCCTTCATGCTGCCTGCAAGATAGGGATAATGAGAACAATCAGCCGGAACTAGAAATCAAACTTCTGATCTGGGACTGATTGCTTGGAGCTCTGATTGTTTACCTTGTCTGTCACCTCTTTCAGCAGATCCCTTAGCTCGGCGACTTGGGGAACTCCTACTACATGGTTTGTATCGCGCTTGACCAAGCCTGAAACTACAAGTAAGCTTCAAGTGAAATTGATACATTACCTTGTGCATCTCCACCAGTTAAAGATACCACCCCTGGATGGAGGAAGAGTACTTCCAGAGAAGATGCCACATCTACCTATGAGACAGATAAGGCAAGTGAATACGAGAGCTTGAACCTATGTCATTTGTACCAAATCATTCACTTATACTCACTAAATGAGAGCTTGAACGTATGTACTTGTGTAAACTCTTCACAATTAATAAGAACTCCTCTACTACTTAGAGCCAATCTGAATGAATCATGAACACGTCCTCTATCCATTTACATTATCTTGTTTCACACTAATGGACCAGATTAGCAATGTCTAGCGAAGATCAGAGATACTTAATACTTTTTTGTTGTACCAACAGTCCTCATTGATTGTGTGCATCAACATCCTAAGTCCTTATGCGTCTAATTTGGTTGGTAAATATTCAAGATGATAATTCTTGTGTATGCTTCGCAAAGAATATCAAGTTGAAGTCCTGGAGGGTTAATTGCTTATTGGACGGTAGAAAAACCATCTTATTCCTAAGTTTCCGATCAAAGGACTTAGAATTTAACCTGGAGATGCACAATAGGATGACATATCAATTGCGAAAATGTGGAACTTTAATACTTGCCAATTGGAGGAGTTACAAGGGGTGCTAAGGAGGGCGTTTAAAAAGTCCCTTACCTTTGGAGGACGTTTGCTAACAACCCAGAGGAACATGAGGATTCTGATCTGGAAGAGATACTTGGAGACTGCGAAACATAGGTTGCATACAACAAATGGAGGCCAAACATGAGGCTATTCAAGCGGGAGATGATAAGAAGCGGAGATCTAAGGTAGAAATTCATAGCCGCAGCTAAGAGATTATGGACTGTTTTTGCACACCTTAGGATCTCAAATGGATTGCAAATGAGATAGGCGAAAAATGATTAGGATGAGGAGATAACATCAAATACCAAAATGAAGACTGATATACTAAGCACTGATAGAACGATGAATTGCGAAGAGTTGAATCGAAAAGCGATATTGTCAGAGCTGACATGTCGTATGCGCTGGAACTGGTGTTGCGGACTTAGAGGACATAAGCGTGTTGTGTTCTTATAGTACGAACTAGAGGCTAAATTAAAGCGGCGGCCGGGATGCTGAATAAATATGGCAAACAGAATGTTATGGGAAGTCATGGGCGGCGGTGAAACATCAACACGTACACAAAAATGGGTTTGGACATGTGTGCAAAGAAGGACTACTGACGGAAACTCTCCGGTTCGAAGAAGATGTAACTACGGGATAAAGGTTCAAGCCGAAAGGGAGGGATAGGGAAGACCTAGTAGGAAAACTTTGGAAGAGACTCTAAGAAAAGACTTAGAGTACTTGGATCTAACGGAGGAACATGACACAAAACCGAGCGCAATGGCGTTCTAGGATTCATATAGCCGACCCCACTTAGTGGGAAAAGGCTTTGTTGTTGTTGTTGTTGTTATTTTCAGTAGTGCTCATGTTATCTAAAGTAAGAGTAAACATAGAGCAGTTCATCCTTCTAACTGTTAGTTCTGAAATTTCATGAGCAAGATAACTGCGGGTTTTGATAATATGTAATTTAGAGAAATCCTCAAATTTGTGCATTAGAAAACATTGGAATGATGTCTTATGATTATGTGAACATAAACACTTGCATTATACAGAAAAGACCTAAATTTTTCACTTTTATACCAAATTAAGTATTATGCTGCTCCAATGTTTTCTAATGCAAATGTATGTGGCGTTTAGGAAACTAGAGCTTCTGGGGTTTGAATATTTTCCTATTTTAGCTTATCCTTGAGTAGGGAATTTTGATGAATTTATATTTTTCCCTCCGCTTTTTTGTGTTTCCATGTCCAAATAATTTTTTAAATTTGGTTCCCTTGTGGCTCGGATATGCATACAATCATTGTTTGGAATTTGGTGTTTATATCATTTGATTTTCTTTGATTTTTTACATGTATTTGTGGTGACGGGGGACGAATTCTAGGATGGAGGTGGAAGGATTTGGAAGAATCAGATGTTATTGATGAGAACACTAGAGTTGCCACAGTGCTTGAGGTTGCCAACACCAAGAGTTGTAGCTGGTTCAACCTGAAGAAGGGTTAATTTTTTACAAAATAAGTTCTAATTCCTTAGTAGTTTGGCTTTACAGTAAATACCAAGAGAATTTTTCATGTGGTAGAATTAATTTTAATAGAATTCATTAACTTGGTAGATTTATGTTGTTTATCGAATGCATATGAGTTTTCATGGTTATCAGTCGTACAATACCTCTATATGGTTACAGAGGGTTGAAGGTAATCTCTATACATTTTGTAAATAGCACTCCCTAGCTATGGCAAATCAGCATTCTCAATTTTCTCATGTAATATATGTATGTAAACACTATTCTTTTGCACATACTTTTTCAAAATTTTCTACACATTTAACATAGTTTTGTAACTCGCGGCATCGCGCGGGTTTAGCTGCATGTGTACTACTAAAACTTTTTTGACCTCACTCTCATACATAAGTATTATTTTTCCTGCCATTCCAACGTCTGTTAATCGATTCGTTAGTCTATCTTTTAATCTACACGTGGAGACAAACGAATGTAAAATATGTGTTAATGTGTACCAATTTTTGTTGTCTTTGGACGATTATAATTGACGTGGCATGTTTAGAATAAAGGAAGCAAATTATAGGGGAGAAAAAACCAAACAGAGGATATCCGATCCACTTCATATTTGGGTCATGTCAGTCAACGACATGTAACTTGTTAAGCAAATGTAATCCCGTAAATTTTGTTTTATTAATTTAATTTTTCAAACTAATGAAAATCTGATACTCAGATATTAATAGAATCCACATGTTTAGGAGAAAAATCAGATTTCTAACGTCTATATTTTAACAAGCCATTAATTGAACTGTGTATGTGAGTTCAAACGTCTATATTTACCACAAGATGCTTCAATTCAATTTGTAACTCACTCTCTCACACCTCACTTTTCCCCAGTAAGTCTCCCTCTCTCTTCTCCTTCTTTAACCTATAGAATATGTTAAATGTTTACTGTCCCAGATTTTGATACAGATTTTTTTTCTTCACTTTATCTGGATCACGATTTTACTTGCATCCTCAGTAGTAGTAAATTCATAATTCTGAGTAATTAATGAGGATTTTGCATGCCGTAGTTGTTTGAATTTCTTAAATTTTACCTCCTTTTGTGTTCTTATTGAACGTGAAATTTTTTGCATATATACCATTGAGTCATATGAACAGTGAGCAAAAAGTGAGAGAATGAGTAACAAATTGAGTTGCAATTCATATTGTCCTCACCAAGCGAGCCCCTTACTGTTAATTTAGTAATTTTTTGAAAAAGCTATCATCAACGGTTCATGTGTTTGTGCTGAACTATTCTCACCAGGCCAAAAACCCTTTCAATTTCTTTCTTTTCTCGATTTATGTGTGTTCATTCTTGCACATGGGTCGTGCTAACCTTCAATTACAGAACATACAGTATGCATATATACATTGCCATTTGAAACAACCCTATCTGTTCATGTTATACTTTATTCTGTATGGCTGGTACAAAAGGAAATACATTATTGGTGAAGAGGTCATTGCAAAGCCAGAGTCGAACGTCGTCGGAAACTTCCCTACTGTAAACGCTGCAGTCAAAGGAATCACCAAAAGATGGCAAAGAGACAATGCAAAGATTTATCATCCTGGTAAAATAACGGCTGAATTTATATAAAATTATTTTTTATTTGAAATTTATATGTATTTTTCACTCAATTTGTCCCCTTGCCGTTTGCTTCTTTTTAGGTTGTCTAAGCGTACATTGGCACCAGATTTGCAACTCAACGTACTTGGTGCGCCGTTCATGGACAAAGTAAGTGTTCTAAAAACCATAATTCTACCGTGGTTTTTGTTTACCCGCGACATATTTATGAACTCCTTTTCTATGGGAGAATGAAGGCCAAATGTGCTATAATTTTTCTTTGGTAATAATAATCGTTGTTCGCAGGTTCTTCTGGCTGAAAAATCAGCCAAAGTTGCTGCCTTACTCAAACAGAAATCGCAGGATGATCTTTCTCGCTTCCTTAGAAATATCCCAGCTGACACAGACACTCTGGAGCTTGTTGCCAAATTCTACCGCGGCTTTGAAATTCAGATGTCCCCTGAGAATATTGTACCTCTCATTTGTGTAGCTCACTACTTGGAGATGACTGAAAACCACAGCAAAAATAATTTGTTAAGTAAGGCGCTTTCTTATTTTCAAGAAAGAATCCTCCCGAGCTGGAATGAAACTGTGAAGGCTTTCCGAGCCACAGAAAAGTTCCTCCAACAGTCTGTGATGCTCGGTTTAATCGATGCCTGTATAGATTCTATCATTCAAAAGGCACTAGCTAATCCCAGCCTTCTCGGAGAGCCAATCAACAATTTGATGAAGTATGATGACGATAGTGAGGATGATGACGAAGAAGGCTATAGGCCGAGCGCAAGGAGAAGGCTCTTTGTTCTTGATTGGCAATCAGAAGACTTGACAACACTGTCCCTCCCGATCTATGAGCCTGTCATCCTTGGAATGAATAAGCATGACGTTCCATAGTGGTACATGGCTGCATCCCTTTGTAACCATACAAAGAAATGGGTTTTCTCTAGCAGCGGAGAGGAAGATAAGATGAACTATCAAAGGGAAATCCTTGAAGCAGTGGAGAGATTGTTGCCTCATGACATTGGACTGTAAGTGTATAACTTATAGAAACTAAATCACGTTACCAACTTGATCACGTACCTGATGAAGACATTGCTGCTTAATTCAAAAGGATTCTTCTGCAACTCTACACACCGGATACAAGGCTCAATCAATGGGGCTTGAGTATCTGAAAAACTTGTGTTTTCGTGAGAGCGCAGGGACCCTAGTTTTATACCATAAACGATGGAGTTCAATCAGGACACTTCCCATTATGTAATCCTTATCAAACTATCTTTATCACCGTGAAAACCCTAATAAACATATCAGATAATAGAGTCCTAGTTCTATCGAGATTGCTTGAGGCTATTATCCTTATTATACAATTTCTGTAAAGCCATCCCACGTAGCTAATGTTAGTCTCCTTATTATTCCAAAACACTTTTACACGATAAACAAGTGTTTGCTCTCTATAGAACTTACATTCTCCCACTAGAGCTAATATTTGTTTATCATGTACACTCACAGAAGTGGAATAATACTTGATTGGCCAAGAGACTAATATCAGCTAAACTCGATTACAAGTTCCTGTCATTAATAAGCATTCATAAAGAACCAAAGGGCATCACACTCCCACTGAAGAAGTACTGTCCCCATAATCACTGTAATGAAGCTATATAACACATGGAACTCCAACAAGATATGTAATTTAATGTAACACATGTTCGCATGTATATTTGAGTAACACATTTTACACTTGGTCCTCCACAAGATTGATAAAACAATCAATTCCAAATACTTCATAGTGAAGTCTTCAAGTTGTTTATGCCTTATAACAATTCTGAGAATCATTATCCATCATGCATTATAAAGAAATACATGCACTTTCATAACTAACTGCTGAGCTTGATAGGAAAACTTTAACAACTATTCAGCATTTCACTTTATTAGCTAAGTGTTCTTTATTATTAATATTCAAAACATTCAGAACTAGATAACTCGCTGAGAAAAATTGATACCTGACTCCCACTAATTCACTGTATCAAAATCATCCAGCACTCCCATACTCATCACATGCTTCTTGAACACTGCATTTGGCATTGCTTTGTTCATAGGATCTGCAATCATTGAACCTGTCTCCAAATAATCAATTTTAACTAACCCAGCCACAACTTTCTCTCTCGCAATAAGGTATTTAATGTCCAAGTTCCTGGTTGCAGCTGATCTCTTATTGTTCTTGGAGAAGAATATTGCAGCATTATTGTCACAGTAGATTTGGATCGGCCTTGCAATTGAATCAATAACTTTAAGTCCCATTATGAAATTCTTTAACCAAACAGCTTGGTTAACAGTCTCACAACAAGATAAATATTCAGCTACCATTGTAGATGCAGCCACTGTGTCTTGCTTTACGCTTTTCCAAGAAACAGCTCCACATGCCATCAAGAAAACATAACCTGATGTAGATTTAAGATCATCCAAACATCCAGCAAAATCGGAGTCACTATACCCTTCTAACACCAACTCATCCGTCTTTCTGAAAACCAACATATGTGCTTTAGTTCTTTGAAGATATTGCAACACTCTCTTTGCTGCATTCCAGTGAGCTTCACCTGCATTCGATTGGAACCTTCCAAGTACACTTATTGTGAATGCAAGATCAGGTCTTGTACAGACCTGAGCGTACATTAGGCTTCCTACCAAGGAAGCATATGGCTTATCTTCCATGATCTTTCTTTCCAAATCATTTTTAGGGCACTGCAACTTACTCAACTTTTCTCCCTTTGAGATCGGCACTTCAGTAGTTCCACAACTGGACATGTTGAATCTTTTTAAAACCTTCTCTATGTACCCTCTTTGCGATAGTCCCAACAAACCTCTCCTCCTGTCCCTTTTGATCTCAATCCCTAAGACATACGTTGCCACTCCCAAGTTTTTCATTTCAAAGTTTCTTTGCAAGAAAGACTTTGTTTCACTTAATAAACTCTGACTATTAGTGGCAAGCAATATATCATCAACATAAAGAATTAAAATGATAAAACTGCTCCCACTAACCTTCATGTAAATGCAGTTGTCAGAAAGATTTTCAGTGAAACCATATTCTCTCACCACTTGATGAAACTTGAGATACCATTGCCTCGATGCCTGCTTGAGTCCGTAAATAGATTTCTTTAACTTGCAGACCAAGTTATCTTTCCCTTCTTCTTTGAACCCATCTGGTTGTCTCATGTAGATACACTCCTCCAAATCTCCATTTAAGAAGGCCGTTTTGACGTCCATTTGGTGCAAAGTAAGATCAAAGTGTGCTACCATAGCCATTATAACCCTAAAAGCATCTTTGGTTGAAACTGGACTAAAGGTTTCTTTGTAATCAACACCCTCTCTTTGTGTAAATCCTTTCGCGACCAATCTAGCTTTGTGCCTTTCTATATTTCCATTCGAATCCTTTTTAGTTTTGAAAACCCACTTGCTTCCTATGAGTTTCATTCCTTCTGTCTGTTCAACTAGTTCCCATACACGATTATTTTCCATTGAAGTCAGCTCACTCTTCATTGCTTCTATCCACTTGTCAGCATTTGGTCTTGAGATTGCTTCTTTAAAACTTATAGGGTCATTAAATTCTGATAAATCAATGTCACTCTCAGCCAAGTATACAAAATCTTCTAGTGTCGTAGGTTTCCTGACCCTAGTTGATCTTCTGAAATTAGTGATGGTGTCGATGCTGCCCTTTTGTATTTGATGTTGCTGACCCATGGTGGGTACTGCTGCCTCAATTGTTATGGTACCTTGATCATCATTTGTCACTTCTTGAGCTGTTGCATCAACTCCGTGATCTTCATCACATGCATCAGTTTCACTGTCCTCCATATGCCCAGCAATCTGAAGAAGTGGAGCTGCCATACTTATCTCAGTTTCCATTGGTTGGACTGCGATTTCTTTTCTTCTTCTTCAAATTCAAAAGTGTCAAGCTCAGTCCCAGAACCAGTATCGGTTTCATGCTCTAAGAAGATTGCCTTGCCAGTTTCAACTATTTTGGAAGTATAATTAGGACAATAAAATCTAAAGCCCTTCGACCTTTCTGCATACCCTACGAAGAAACAACTAATGGTCTTGGGATCAAGCTTTTTGTTGTTAGGACTATACACTTTTGCTTCTGCTCTACAACCCCAAACATGAAGATGATTCAAGCTGGGTTTTCTCCCTGTCCACAGCTCAAAAGGAGTACCCTCAACAGATTTTGATGGCACCCTATTTAAAATATAATTTGCAGTCTTCACTGCTTCTCCCCACAAAGAACTCGGCAAATTAGCTCTACATATCATGCTTCTTACCATGTCCATTAAGGTCCTGTTTCTTCTTTCTGCAACCCCATTTTGCTCGGGGGTTCCAGGTGTAGTGTATTGAGCTACAATCCCATGTTCTTGCAAGAATAGTGCAAAAGGTCCAGGATGTCTACCAGTTTGAGTATATCTACCATAATATTCTCCACCCCTATCAGACCTAAAAATCTTTATTTTTCTTTCCAACTGATTTTCAACTTCATTTTTATAAATTTTGAAAACTTCAAAAGCTTTAGATTTCTCATTGATCAAATAAATGAAACAAAACCTTGAAAAATCATCAATGAAGGTTATAAAGTATTTGTTTCCTTCTATGGTAGGTGTTGGAAAAGGACCACAAATGTCCGTGTGAATAATTTCTAGGACTTGTTTACTTCTAGTTGATCCTTCCTTTCTACTATTTGTCATTTTACCTTTGATGCAATCCACACAAAAATCAAAGTCATTAAAGTTCAAAGATGGTAAAATGTCATTTTTAACAAGCAACTCCATTCTTTGTTTCGAAATATGGCAAAGTCTCTTATGCCATAGGTTTGAAGATTGAATTTTGGTGTTCCCATTTTGGATGTTAAAAACGTGTTCATCAAGATTTAACTTTATTTGGAACATCCCATCATTCAAAAAACCAGAACCAATTTGAGATGACTTATAAAAAATGTTGAAGCCAATATTATTGATAGTAAAAAAAAAACCCAACATAACTAGTTTTGAAACCGAAATCAACTTCCTTCTCATAGAAGGTATATAAACGACATTTTCCAATTCTAAACAAAAACCAAATTCTAACTTTAGCCTAACACTTCCTAAAGCTTTGACTTCAACTCTTCTTCCATTGCCAACAGAGACTTTGACTTGATCTTTATTTGGTGTTCTCTTTGTTATGAAGTCCTGCAATGAATTCGTAACATGAATAGAAGAGCCTGAGTCAAGCCACCATGCAGTGCTAGGTATATCAATCAAATTTGACTCAAAACAAGCAAAAATATTTTTACCTTTCTTTGACTCTTGTTTAGCAAGCCAAGCCTTATATTTTGGACAATTTCTCTTCATATGACTTGTTTTCTTGCAAAAATAGCATTTGAAAATCGATGGTTTGTTAGGTTTAAAGTTCCTTTTGGTAGGAGATGGAGCCCTTTTGGTAGTTTCTTTCCTGGTAACATCAACAGCCGAGGATTTGTGTGCTTTATAGGCACCATTCACAAGGTTAACAGACTCAACCTTTTCCTTTTCATACTTCTCCTTTTTCATCCTTTCTTCTTCACTTACACATATAGCAATTAACTCATTCACATCCCATTTTTCACGCAAAGCATTATAAGATACTTTCAGTTGAGTGTAGCTATCAGGTTGTGAGTTCATTATCACATGCACAAGGAATGTTTCAGATATAGGTACCTCGAGAGCCTTAAGTTTTCCAGCAACATCCATCATCTTCAAGATATATTCACGTACGCTTTCAATGCCATCATATCTCATGGTGGTAAGTGAGTTCATGAGATTACCTGTCTCGGATTTTGGAGACTCCTTGTACTTTTCTTCGATGGATGCAAGAAATTCCTTGGCATTAGTAGCATCAGGGAAGCCACCTCGAACCACATCAGTCATACTCCTCTTGATAATCATCAGGGAAATCCTGTTTGATTTTTTCCATTTTTCATACTTGGACCGTTGGCTGGATGTGCTCCCATCTGTCGGCATAGGAGGCTCTTCAGTTCTGAGTGCTAAATCCCAATCCATGACTCCCAGCACGATCTCTAGATCCTGTTTCCATTTCTTATAGTTGATACCAGTAAGTGGTTCAACAGTGTTGAGGTTCATGGAGCTAGGGTTCATGGCTGTCAAAGCATAAAACTTTCGAATATTAATCCTTATCCCCAAACCATATATCACGAAAAACAACATTCTTTAGATTGATGAAAGCTGTGATTATTTTCTTTGTTCATATCACTTTTGTAGCTGATACATGAATTTCTTTAACTATGATTATAGATCTTTATGATCTGACAATGATAGTTGTATTCATGTATTGGCTGCCAAAACGATATGCCACTCAAAAAACTAAATATGAACATCTGAACTTCTTTAGAAGATCAGCGTCCACAATCGGTGTTCAAGTGCCATTTTTGGTATACATATTAAGATGAAAAACCCACACGAATAAGAATGGCTTTAGCCATCACATAGTCGTGTTGTTTTTCCCAGATAATATGTAACCAGTTCTGTAACCTGCACAGCAATAAGAAAACAAACATTCTCGATGCCTCCAACATAGGATTAAGATGATACGTGAAGGCTCTGATACCAACTGTAAGTATATAACTTATAGAAACTAAATCACGTTACCAACTTGATCACGTACCTGATGAAGACATTGCTGCTTAATTCAAAAGGATTCTTCTGCAACTCTACACACCGGATACAAGGCTCAATCAATGGGGCTTGAGTATCTGAAAAACTTGTGTTTTCGTGAGAGCGCAGGGACCCTAGTTTTATACCATAAACGATGGAGTTCAATCAGGACACTTCCCATTATGTAATCCTTATCAAACTATCTTTATCACCGTGAAAACCCTAATAAACATATCAGATAATAGAGTCCTAGTTCTATCGAGATTGCTTGAGGCTATTATCCTTATTATACAATTTCTGTAAAGCCATCCCACGTAGCTAATGTTAGTCTCCTTATTATTCCAAAACACTTTTACACGATAAACAAGTGTTTGCTCTCTATAGAACTTACATGGACTACTTCCATGCACATTATTGTTTGAAATCCTCCGTTTCGCTATTCTTTTGGAAGTGAGTTCTGACTGTAGAAATGGGATTGATTAGAATCGGAAAACAACTGGAACGGGCAACAGTCAAAGACCTCTTGATACCATCTAAAGGCTATTCCAAGGAAATGCAATACGAGATTGGGTGTTTGAGGCGGATACTGAAAGATTTCTATGGAAGTTTTACTTCTTCAGACGTATCCGGGCTAGTTGCAGTAGCTGAACTCATTGAAGAATTCTTGGCTGAAATTGCCAGTGACATAGATCTGAAGATAGGTACATTTGTTGAATTAGCAGAGATGTCGATTGCAGCATCGTTGGGTATACAAAGAACCTCAGATGGAATATACAGGGCGGTTCATATCTACTTGGATAAGCACAGGCACTTGACGGAGATGGAACGACAGGAAGTGTGTCAGTTTTGGATTTCAAAAAGATGTCGCCCGAAGCATGTGAACAAGCTACCAAAAATGAAATGTTGCTTCTGAGAGTGGTGGTGCAGGTGTTATTTGCAGGGCAGTTGCAGCTGCTTGATACGATCATCAACGGGGTGCAGGGTTCAGACGAAAGAACAACAAAGGAGGCTGCGGAGGAGAAGATGCAAAGTTGGATGTTGGTGAGAGAGAAATGAGATCCGAGATGGAGAAAATGAGCATAAAGGTAATGGAGCTTGAAAGAAAGTGCTATAAGATGAGGAAAGCGATTGAGAATGGCTGCAACCCCAAGGTGAAGGAGAAAACTAGCTTGTGGAGAGAAATGAAGAGGAAGTTCGGGTGCATCAACAGTGTGGGCGATTCTAACTGCCAATTGAAGAAGAAGAAGAAGAAGAAGGTGCATCCAAAACATGGAGTGTGACATGTAGAATGTAAAATATGGTCAATGTGTAACCAATTTTTTTTGTCTTTGGACGATTATAATTGACGTGGCATGTTTAGAATAAAGGAATCAAATTATAGGGGAGAAAAAACCAAACATAGGATATCTGATCCACTTAATATTTGGGTCATGTCAGCGAATGACATGTAACTTGTTAAGCAAATGTAACCCTGCAAATTTTGTTTTATTAATTTAATTTTTCAAACAAAACAAAATCTGATACTCAAATATTAACAGAACCCACATGTTTAGGAGAAAAATCAGATTACTAACGTCCATATTTCAACAAGCCGTTGACTGAACTGTGTATGTGAGTTCACACGTCGATATTTACCACAAGAAGCTTCAACTCAATTTGTAACTCACTCTCACACACCTCACTTTTTCCCAGTAAGTCTCCCACTCTCTTCTCCTTCTTTAACCTATAGAATATGTTAAATGTTTACTGTCACAGATTTTGATATAGATTTTTTCTTTTACTTAATCTGGATCACGTTTTTACTTGCGTCCTCAGTATTAGTAAATGCATAATTCTGAGTAATTAATGTGGATTTTGCATGCCTTAGTTGTTTGAATTTCTTAAATTTTACCTCCTTTTGTGTTTTTATTGAAAGTGAAATTTTTTGCATATATATCATTGAGTCATATGAACAGTGAGCAAAAAGTGAGAGAATGAGTAACAAATTGAGTTGCAATTCATATTGTCCTCACTAAGTGATCCCCTTATTGTTAATTTATTAATTTTTTGAAAAATCTATCATCAACAGTTCATGTGTTTGTGCTGAACTATTTTCACCAGGCCAAAAACCCTTTCAATTTCTTTCTTTTCTCGGTTTATGTGTGTCATTCTTGCACGTGTGTCGTGCTAACCGTCAATTACAAAACATACAGTAGTATTTGAAATTACAATATGCATATATACATTGTCATTTGAAACAACCCTATCTGTTCATGTTATACTTTATTCTGTATGGCTGGTAAGAAAGGAAATACATTATTGGTGAAGAGGTCATTGCAAAGCTAGAGTCGAACGTCGTCGGAAACATGGAGTGTGACATGTAGAATGTAAAATATGGAGTGTGACATGTAGAATGTATAGAATAAGAAGGTGCATCCAAAACAATGAGTGTGACATGTAGAATGTAAAATATGTGTCAATGTGTAACCAATTTTTTTTGTCTTTGGACGATTATAATTGACGTGGCATGTTTAGAATAAAGGAATCAAATTATAGGGGAGAAAAAACCAAGCATAAGATATCCGATCCACTTCATATTTGGGTCATGTCAGCGAACGACATGTAACTTGTTAAGCAAATGTAACCCCGCAAATTTTGTTTTATTAATTTAATTTTTCAAACAAAAGAAAATCTGATACTCAAAATATTAACAGAACGCACACGTTTAGGAGAAAAATCAGATTTCTAACGTCCATATTTCAACAAGCCATTGACTGAACTGTGTATGTGAGTTCACACGTCCATATTTACCACAAGAAGCTTCAACTCAATTTGTAACTCACTCTCTAACACCTCACTTTTTCCCACTAAGTCTCCCTCTCTCTTCTCCTTCTTTAACCTATAGAATATGTTAAATGTTTACTGTCCCAGATTTTGATATAGATTTTTTCTTTTACTTTATCGTAATCACGTTTTTACTTGCGTCCTCAGTAGTAGTAAATGCATAATTCTGAGTAATTAAAGTGGATTTTGCATGCGTTAGTTGTTTGAATTTCTTAAATATTTCCTCCTTTTGTGTTCTTATTGAATGTGAATTTTTTTGCATATGTACCATTGAGTCATATGAACAGTGAGCAAAAAGTGAGAGAATGAGTAAAATTGAGTTGCAATTCATATTGTCCTCACTAAGCGAGCCCCTTACTGTTAATTTATTAATTTTTTGAAAAAGCTATCAGTTCATGTGTTTGTGCTGAACTATTCTCACCAGGCCAAAAACCCTTTCAATTTCTTTCTTTTCTCGGTTTATGTGTGTCATTCTTGCACATGTGTCGTGCTAACCTTCAATTACAGAACATACAGTAGTATTTGAAATTACAATATGCATATATACATTGTCATTTGAAACAACCCTATCTGTTCATGTTATACTTTATTCTGTATGGCTGGTACAAAAGAAAATACATTATTGGTCAAGAGGTCATTGCAAAGCCAGAGTCGAACGTCGTCGGAAACTTCCCTACTGTATGATAAACCATGTACTCCACGTCAACAAACCACATGTACTCCAGGTCAACAAACCACTCCAAGTCAGCCATCCACATCTCTGGAGTTCGAATCATCTAAGTCTCCCTCATCAAGTCAACCTCACAGTTTGGATAACTCAAGGACTCTTCATCAGATAGACTCTCCTATCTCTTCGTAGAATCTATCCGTTTGTAATCTGATATATGTTGATATATGTTCATATTGTAACCAACTTATCTTGTAATCTCTATATAATGAAGTCAAAACCTCACTCATCATTAACTGAGTTGAGCTTATGCAATCAGTCTCTAAAACCCTAGTTTAAACTCTTTCACTGTAAACGCTGCAGTCAAAGGAATCACCAAAAGATGGCAAAGGGACAATGCAAAGATTTATCATCCTGGTAAAATAAAGGCTGAATTTATATAATTTTTTTTTTTTTTTAAATTTATATGTATTTTTCACTCAATTTGTTCCCCTTGCCGTTTACTTCTTTTAGGTTGTCTAAGCCTACATTGGCACCAGATTTGCAACCCAACGTACTTGGTGCGCCGTTCATTGACAAAGTAAGTGTTCTACAAACCGTAATTCTACCGCGGTTTTTGTTTACCGCGACATAATTATGAACTCCTTTTCTACGAGAGAATGAAGGCCAGATGTGCTATAATTTTTCTTTGGTAATAATAATCGTTGTTCGCAGGTTCTTCTGGCTGAAAAATCAGCCAAAGTTGCTGCCTTACTCATACAGAAATCGCAGGATGATCTTTCTCGCTTCCTTAGAAATATCCCTGCTGACACAGACACTCTGGAGCTTGTTGCCAGATTCTACCACGGCTTTGAAATTCAGATGTCCTCTGAGAATATTGTACCTCTCATTTGTGTAGCTCACTACTTGGAGATGACTGAAAACCACAGCAAAAATAATTTGTTAAGTAAGGCGCTTTCTTATTTTCAAGAAAGAATCCTCCCGAGCTGGAATGAAACTGTGAAGGCTTTCCGAGCCACAGAAAAGTTCCTCCAACAGTCTGTGAAGCTCGGTTTAATCGATGCCTGTATAGATTCTATCATTCAAAAGGCACTAGCTAATCCCAGCCTTCTCGGAGAGCCAATCAACAATTTGATGAAGTATGATGACGATAGTGAGGATGATGACGAAGAAGGCTATAGGCCGAGCGCAAGGAGAAGGCTCTTTGTTCTTGATTGGCAATCGGAAGACTTGACAACACTGTCCCTTCCGATCTATGAGCCTGTCATCCTTGGAATGAATAAGCATGACGTTCCATCGCGGTATGTGGCTGCATCCCTTTGTAACTATACAAAGAAATGGGTTTTCTCTAGCAGCGGAGAGGAAGATAAGATGAACTATCAAAGGGAAATCCTTGAAGCAGTGGAGAGATTGTTGCCTCATGACATTGGACTACTTCCATGCACATTATTGTTTGAAATCCTCCGTTTCGCTATTCTTTTGGAAGTGAGTTCTGACTGTAGAAATGGGATTGAGATCAGAATCGGAAAACAACTGGAACGGGCAACAGTCAAAGACCTCTTGATACCATCTCAAGGCTATTCCAAGGAAATGCAATACGAGATTGGGTGTTTGAGGCGGATACTGAAAGTGTTCTATGGAAGTTTTACTTCTTCAGACGTATCCGGGCTAGTTGCAGTAGCTGAACTCATTGAAGAATTCTTGGCTGAAATTGCCAGTGACATAGATCTGAAGATAGGTACATTTGTTGAATTAGCAGAGATGTCGATTGCAGCATCGTTGGGTATACAAAGAACCTCAGATGGAATATACAGGGCGGTTCATATCTACTTAGATAAGCACAGGCACTTGACGGAGATGGAACGAGAGGAAGTGTGTCAGGTTTTGGATTTCAAAAAGATGTCGCCCGAAGCATGTGAACATGCTACCAAAAATGAAATGTTGCCTCTGAGAGTGGTGGTGCAGGTGTTATTTGCAGGGCAGTTGCAGCTGCGGGATACGATCATCAACGAGGTGCAGGGTTCAGACGAAAGAACAACAAAGGAGGCTGCGGAGGAGAATGAAGCAAAGTTGGATGTTGGTGAGGGAGAAATGAGATCCGAGATGGACAAAATGAGCATAAAGGTGATGGAGCTTGAAAGAGAGTGCTATAAGATGAGGAAAGAGATTGAGAATGGCTGCAACCCCAAGGTGAAGGAGAAAACTAGCTTGTGGAGAGAAATGAAGAGGAAGTTCGGGTGCATCAACAGTGTGGGCGATTCTAACTGCCAATTGAAGAAGAAGAAGAAGAAGAAGGTGCATCCAAAACATGGAATGTGACATGTAGAACGTAGAATATGTGTCAATGTGTAACCAATTTTTTTTGTCTTTGGACGATTATAATTGACGTGGCATGTTTAGAATAAAGGAAGCAAATTATAGGGGAGAAAAAACCAAACATAGGATATCCGATCCACTTCATATTTGGGTCATGTTAGCGAACGACATGTAACTTGTTAAGCAAATGTAACCCCGCAAATTTTGTTTTATTAATTTAATTTTTCAAACAAAAGAAAATTTGATACTCAAATATTAACAGAACCCACATGTTTAGGAGAAAAATCAGATTTCTAACGTCCATATTTCAACAAGCCGTTGACTGAACTGTGTATGTGAGTTCACACATCGATATTTACCACAAGAAGCTTCAACTCAATTTGTAACTCACTCTCTCACACCTCACTTTTTCCCAGTAAGTCTCCCTCTCTCTTCTCCTTCTTTAACCTATAGAATATGTTAAATGTTTATTGTACCAGATTTTGATATAGATTTTTTCTTTTACTTAATCTGGATCACGTTTTTACTTGCGTCCTCAGTAATAGTAAATGCATCATTCTAAGTAATTAATGTGGATTTTGCATGCCTTAGTTTGAATTTCTTAAATTTTACCTCCTTTTGTGTTCTTATTGAACGTGAAATTTTTTGCATATATACCATTGAGTCATATGAACAGTGAACAAAAAGTGAGAGAATGAATAACAAATTGAGTTGCAATTCATACTGTCCTCACTAAGTGAGCCCCTTATTGTTAATTTATTAATTTTTTGAAAAAGCTATCATCAACAGTTCATGTGTTTGTGCTGAACTATTCTCACTAGGCCAAAAACCCTTTCAATTTCTTTCTTTTCTTGGTTTATATGTGTCATTATTGCACATATGTCGTGCTAACCTTCAATTACAGAACATATAGTAGTATTTGATATTACAATATGCATATATACATTGTCATTTGAAACAACCCTATCTGTTCATGTTATACTTTATTCTGTATGGCTGGTACGAAAGGATATACATTGTTGGTGAAGAGGTCATTGAAAAGCCAGAGTCGAACGTCGTCGGAAACATGGAGTGTGGCATGTAGAATGTAAAATATGGAGTGTGACATGTAGAATGTAAAATAAGAAGGTGCATCCAAAACATGGAGTGTGACATGTAGTATGTAAAATATGTGTCAATATGTAACCAATTTTTTTGTCTTTGGACGATTATAATTGACGTGGCATGTTTAGAACAAAGGAAGCAAATTATAGAGGAGAAAAAACCAAACATAGGATATCCAATCCATTTCATATTTGGTTTATGTCAGTGAACGACATGTAACTTGTTAAGCAAATGTAACCCCGCAAATTTTGTTTTATTAATTTAATTTTTCAAACTGAAGAAAATATGATACTCAAATATTAACAGAACCCACATGTTTAGGAGAAAAATCAGATTTCTAACGTCCATATTTCAACAAGTCATTGACTGAACTGTGTATGTGAGTTCACACGTCCATATTTACCACAAGAAGCTTCAACTCAATTTGTAACTCACTCTCTCACACCTCACTTTTTCACAGTAAGTCTCCCTCTCTCGTCTCCTTCTTTAACCTATAGAATATGTTAAATGTTTACTGTACCAGATTTTGATATAGATTTTTTTTACTTTATCTGGATCATGTTTTTCCTTGCATCCTTAGTAGTAGTAAATGCATAATTCTGAGTAATTAATGTGGATTTTGCATGCCTTAGTTGTTTGAATTTCTTAAATTTTACCTCCTTTTGTGTTCTTATTGAACATGAATTTTTTTGCATATATACCATTGAGTCCTATGAACAGTGAGCAAAAAGTGAGAGAATGAGTAACAAATTGAGTTGCAATTCATATTGTCCTCACTAAGTGAGCCCCTTACTGTTAATTTATTAATTTTTTGGAAAAGCTATCATCAACAGTTCATGTGCTTGTGCTGAACTATTCTCACCAGGCCAAAAACCCTTTCAATTTCTTTCTTTTCCCGATTTATGTGTGTCATTCTTGCACATGTGTCGTGCTAACCTTCAATTACAGAACATACAGTAGTATTTGAAATTGCAATATGCATATATACATTGTCATTTGAAACAACCCTATCTGTTCATGTTATACTTTATTCTGTATGGCTGGTACAAAAGGAAATACATTATTGGTGAAGAGGTCATTGCAAAGCCAGAGTCGAACGAAACTTCCCTACTGTATCAAAACTAGCTTGTGGAGAGAAATGAAGAGGAAGTTCGGGTGCATCAACAGTGTGGGCGATTCTACCTGCCAATTGAAAAAGAAGAAGAAGAATTAGAAGGTGAATCCAAAACATGGAGTGTGACATGTAGATTCTTCTTCCATCTAATAAGACTTCTTTTGGCAAATATCTAGTTGTTCATTGATTGATTTTTCAGCTTTGATCGTCGACTTAAAGACTAAATCCTTTTTCTGCTTTACCCAATCTATCTAGTCTAACCCTACTTTTGCAAATAATCTGGTTATTTATTGATATGAATAATGAAAGAGTAATTAAGTGATATGTAAATCAAGAAGTTGATATTAACTTCATTGCCGAAAGAAGTTCGTGTTCTTGAAAGATAGAACTCAACTAGAATACCGAGGTTCACGAAAAACAGAAAAGAAATTGGGCAATCTGAACTACATTGTGCTAATAAGCTTGAGAAAATCAAGTTACAACAAAGAAAACTTTTCCTCTTTTGTTAGTTCCCTTTCTAGCATCAAGCTATATGCATATATATGATCATTGTTGCAAAACACTTTTACATGGTTCCAATGTACCTCAAAAATTTGTTTTCCTGCGTTCTTCAGACAACATTACCACGGCCACACCGAGAATGGACTCCAAACTCACCTCCCCATATACATAATATCGTCCTCGAGCTTTCGTTCCCCGTGGCAATAGAAGGAAGTTATACATAGTTGCATATGATTCTTTCCATGATTGAAGCCAATTAAAATCTCTCAATTCCTTTCCATTCCATTCCACGGCAATTGCAATGAGGCTAGTCTATTCGCCGGGGGACGGAGATATATATATCTATACTACTTGGCAACATCCATGCTGTTGTAAAAAGAAATCAAACCATTAATCTCAACGGCATTTCACTATCTTTAGAACCAACTGAATCATTGATCGCAGTATCATGTTCCATGTCTATGGCTTGATGATGGTTGTCTTTTCCATTCTGGCCTCCGTGTCCACCCTGATCTTCGTTCCCCATTACAACCACCCCGGCAAACTGCACCCTTCGGTCACCATTAGGTGAATGAACAGGGGAGTCTGTAGCTGATGATGCAATGCCAGCTGTCAATGCGCTGCTCGTGCTGGGGATGGTGGCAGCCCGGCTGCTGCCTGCCTTGGCATAGTGACCGCTGTCCCCAGTATGCGTGGCAGCGGCGGGCCTAAAGCATCTGTAGATACACGTCGTGATCCAAAACGCCCATGGAATAGCCACAAGCACCATTCCTGCAAAGGGGAACCATGGTTGGGATTTTTCTTCAGGTAGAAGCATGTAAAGGAAAAGAAGTACTCCGCCGGCAATAATGCAGACGAAGAAAAGGGTGGAGATGACAGAGACTCTAGCATCTCCTTTCCTTTCCTCCATTGAAGGTAAAGAAAGAGCGAACAGGATCTTTCTTCTGCGGCGTGACCGATAATGTTTTCTGAGTTTTGTGTAACTGTTGTTGTGTGTTGGATATTGTCTCTCTTCGTTTTTCGTTTGGTTAGATTGGGTCGACTTGCTGCCGGAATCCAACAAAGTGGTGGATGGGAATTATGGAGGATACATCCGGTGGTGGGAAGGTTTCAAAACAGAGCGGTGAAAGCGGGGCTGGTTTGTAACTGCAATGCATTGTTATTAACCGACTAACGAGTTTTATTTATGCACAAAGCAAGAGTTTAAAAAATATAAGGACGACGACGAAAATGACGAAAATGAATTGATGATGTACTCTAGCATGTACAGTTAATTATAGAATGCGATTTTTGCGCTCTCATTTAGTAAATTTACACTTTCTCATTACTTTTTATTTTATGCAAGGCGGTGCAAGAGGAGAGAGAGAGTGATTCTCTCATACTGCTTTCAGTCTTGTTATGTTAGTTGAGTTAACAGAACTAGTCTTATTTGCTTTTGACTTTCTAGGACCTTCAACACTCGCCAACTCAAACCTCCAAACTCCACTAGAGATAATGAAGAAAATCGAATTTGCCAAAAAAAATCGCTGAATGTATGGTCTAGTGACACACAATTTCGAATTTATATGATGAAAGTGGTCCTGAGCCTTTTAGATACGACATTTCATTACATGTGAAATAAAAACATTTACATCGCTTGCTAGAGCATTAAAGAGCCAACTCGGTGCAACTACATTCCAACGATGGCGGCCATGATATAGGAAACAAAAGAGGCAACTGAGTGTGTTGCTCCGTAGCATGAATGCAAATTGAAAAGAAACCAAATCCGGATGTTAAGACTCAGCATCAATGAGGAGAGAGCCCCATCCACCACCCCCAGGAATTAAAATCTGAAGAATTTCCCTTGACAGCACATCAACCGTGTTCTTCCCACCAAGATAAACCCTTCGCTTATCTCTTGTGATGAGGAAGTTAGCCCCCCAAGCCCCGTCTTTCCCCACTTTCAACCCCCTTGGTGCATGAACACGCCTCTCAGAAAGAATGCTGACAACAATTGGGCGCTTGAACTCTATCTCTCTTGCAAGACCATCGCCCCCTCTATGATACCAAACTCCGCCGCTGTTCTCTCTCAGGCCAAATTTATGCAAAAGAACAGGATATCTCTGTTCGAAAATTTCTGGATCAGTCATTCGGGTATTGGTCATATGACACTGCACTCTACTCGTCCCATCCCAACTTGGACCAGCTCCACTCCCACCGCCGATTGTTTCGTAGTAACCAAATGTATTGTCCCCAAAAGTGAGATTATTCATACAACCCTGTGAACAAGCACAAGCCTGAAATACAGTAAGCACAACATCAGTTATTCTCTGAGAAGTGAGAACGTTACCACCCACGACAACAGCTTTATCACTTGGAGAGAGGAGAGAGCCTGGTGGAATATAGATTTTCACAGGAGCCAAACAACCTTGATTTAGAGGAATATCAACATCCACCAAGCAGCGAAGGCAGTATATAACTGCTGCAGCTGTTACGGCTTCTGGAGCATTCCAATTCCCATATACTTCAGGACTAGTTCCACTGAAATCAAAATTTGATTCCCCTTTCACAGAATCAATTGTAAGTTTTAAATGAATAACGGACCTATCATCCATGTAATCCTCTTCTTCAATAGTAACAGAACTCTGATCTCCGGAACTAGCCAACTGAGATAAAACTCTAGCAGCAACAGATTTGAGCATTTCTCTCACTGCTTCTTCTGCATTTAGCTGTACATAGGTCATGTAAGCCTGAACAGTGTCTAAACCACTGCTTGATAAGCTCTTTGATAAGGGTAATTCCCCTCTGGTTCACAGCTACTTGAGCTCGAAGATCTGATAGATTATCATGAATCCTGCAAGTTCCTGGGATCTTTTGAGCCAATTCATCTTCTCGAAAATTTCCCTTTTCCACAAGCTTGAACGCTTTTATGGCATCACCTTCTTCCCATATAGACTTGGAAAAAGGTGGCATACTTCCAGGAGTAATACCCCCAATCTCTGCATGATGCCCTCTGCTCGCCACAAAAAACACCAGCCTTCCATTATCAAACACAGGTGTGATAACAGTTATATCAGGAAGATGACTACCTCCGGCACAAGGATGATTGGTGACCAAAACATCTCCTTCATTCAAGCTGTCACCCCAGTAGTTGATCTGCCACCCGACAGTACTGGACATCGCTCCTAAGTGCACAGGGACATGAGGGGCATTGGCAACTAGTCCCCCATCTAGCCGCTCCTTGATATTGGTTGATATAGAAGTCCTCTGCAGGGTCCTTCCCATCTGTTCAGCTATACCCATAAATCTATGATTGAAGATCAAGAGCTGCATAACATTAGCCGCTACTTCCACGGTGCTTGGGGTAGTGTCAAGCTGAGGAGCTTGTATTATAGTGTCTGCAATCTGATAGGAGCATATTTATGCGACTTTGTTATCTTATTTCTTTGCATTTACTTAGTTAATTTCCATTTGTTGTAGTAATTTAAGCTATTTTCGTATTATTGTAGGTCCAGTTGGTAAAGATGACAATAAATAGCTAAATTGAGCAATTTGGAGCAGTTTTGGACTTGGATTAGATAGCATGCCATGGATAGCATATGGGCTAAACATTTTTGGTGTTTAAATGATGTTAGACATGTGCTAAACTCTGGAGAAATTTAAGTTGAGGCTTGGAAGGCAAGGAATTACACAAGAAAGAGGAATCCTAGTTGGAGATGAACATTATCTTATCCAATCTTATCATATACTATCTTATCTTATCTTATCCTATATTATCCAACATTATCTTATTTTATCTCTAGCTGCAAAGAGGAATCCTAATCACATTCCGACACTTTCTACCTGATTTTTAGAGTCCTAAAATAACTCAAAAACGCCAAAACCCTTTCCTCCTTGGATTCAGCCATTTCCCCTATATATATGAATTTCCTGTAGAGATTTAGGTGTGCCATGCCTACCATTCATCCATTGAAGTTGTTGGAATTTTTAGAGTTCTTTCTATCTTTGTTTTAAGTTTTAATGTTTATTTTAGATTGCTACCATTCATCCATTGAAGTTGTTGGAATTTTTAGAGTTCTTTCTATCTTTGTTTTAAGTTTTAATGTTTATTTTAGATTGCTTTTCAGTAATGATAAACATGTGTAACTAAGTTTCTTTTTAGCTAGAGGTGAATTCGAAGCCATGATCATATGTTTGATATAAATTGATTGCATCCAGTTATTGTTTCATAAAACATGAATGTGATTTACTTATCTGCTTTATAGAAAACTTATTCTTGTATGTTTATTAAGGATGCATACTTAGTTTGTATGCAGGGATTTGATGCTAGAATATAAGGGAATTTCACCTAATTGTTATGAACTTATATTTGCCAGTAGTAAAACTCACTAGTCATGATTGAGTTAAGTAAATTATGGGCAGGAGTATCTTGCTTTTCATAGTTACAAATGCTTTGTCAATGCTTATGATTTTCACAGAACTTAATAATCTTTGAGATGTATCTCTATCATGCTTTTCATAGTTAGGGAATTTGAGAAGAATAATTTGGTTGCATCGCTGAGTCCAATTCACTGAACTAAGGAAAATCTGAGAGTTAATTAGTGTTGTTCACAGTTAATTTGGGATATTGTCATTCATGGTTTATAGGAAGAATAACTGGAAATCAATTTGTATGCATATGTTTCATTTGTGGAGAAGAATCCTTTAGCTATCTTTTCATCCATATTTCATTCACAACTTAATTTACTTGCTGCCCTTTACTTTTGTTTTAGTTAAATTCGTCCAAAATCCCCCTAGTCATTGTTTTGTTGTTAGTTTAACTTAGTTTTCATTTTAGAAGTTTAATTTGTGTTGATTAGCATCCCTTCTAATCCCCGGAATAAAACGATCCCTACTTACTCATATTATGATTGCATAATTTATAGGGTTTAATTTGTGTGTTAGTTTTTACCACATCACAATCTGGGTTTCCATGAGTTTTTCATAAGTCCCAGCATAACAGCTCACATCTATAGATGTGCTACCTGTTAAGGATAAAGAAGGTCCACCAGATTAAATCTTTGCTTAGTTGTTAAGATAGGACTGTTAGCTCATAGAGTTTGTTAGTTGTTATGGTGACTCAACCACTATTGTAATGTATTTATACATGTGTACTCATTCATTTTGGATATATGGAAAATACACAACTTCAATTACTTTCTCTCTCTACAAATTCCCTCTCTCTCTACCTTCAATTTTCTCTCAGAATCTTGAGTTTCTACATGGTATCTTCGCCTTTGTCCACCAACTTCAATCCACTTCCACCGCCTTAAACAATTTTCTCTCTTCCCAAACAGGTTCTATCTCTCTTAAATTCTTCGATTCTTGCCCTAATTTCACCAATTTTTGTCCAAACATCTTGAATTTCTTTGCCAACTGCTTCGAATGTTGCAAATTCTTCTTCTTCAGCTGCTTCGTCTGATTCTCCAGGCGATGTTTCTCATCCGTCCGTTACCTCCATCGCTTCGATCACTATTTAGAATATCACCGGCATGGTACCAACCAAACTCAACCGTCAAAATTACATCACTTGGCACAGCTTGTTCATCCCTGTTTTGAAGCGATTTAAGTGTATAGGGCTTGTTAATGGTACTGATCTTTGTTCGTCTCCTCTTGTGAGTGATTCGTCTGGATCTCGAGTTCCTAATCCGGCGTTTGATCTTTGGTGTGAGTACGATCAAATTCTGATGATTTGGATTAACTCGACACTTTATGAAGATCTTCTTCCTTTTACAGTTGGTATGGATGATTCCAGATCTCTCTGGCAATCTCTTGAACGTTGCTTTGCTAGTGCCTCTCGCACTTATGAACTTATAGGTAAGTGCCAGGTAAGTTCATAAATTAAAATTATGAGACTGTTGAGTTGATGTGATTGAAAGCTCATAAACCTGCACTAGGGTGATTGTGATTTAGCAGAGATGTGATTCAGGCCTGTAAATATATTTAGTCACCCCCGCACTATATGCTCACATTGGATCCAATTTAGGTGCCCAGTCTTGTCATACAGACCACTCATAGGTGGTTCCGACTCGTAGGTGACTAGCGATTTATCGTAAAGCTATCAGGAGAGGATAGCGTGAGCATAACTATATTACTTTCAGTTCTGTCGTACAGACCATTTCAGCCGTTCCGACTCGTGTGCAGTGTAGTGCCGTACAGGT